TGTAGAAAACTGGTTTTAAAAGAACCTCAGTAATGAAAGAGGCGGAACAAATCAGTGCCCATTCTTGATGTATTAATTATTATTTATGAAAGCCTGTATGACGTTGGTAAAACTGATTTTTTTAAGTGATTTTCTGGATTGTAAAGCTCCTGCATTATCACAAAATGTAAAATTAGATAAATAATACTGTTGAATTCTTTTGGTTTCTAGTCTAGTTTTCGCTGCCCATTATGTCACCAAATTACGTAGGTTGTGTCTTAGAACATACAATTTGTGTTGTGGTTGGTTGCCTATATTCGCGGGGCTCAACAACCTAAACTATGTTTTGTTCTCATTTTCAAAAATTGATTACGCTTAACGTTTTTCCACTTTTTGACACAAATTTTTTTTATTTTATTTTTTTATTCAACAGTGAATCAAAACTATGTAGATGTGTTCTAGCACAGAAGCAAAATTTTTATCTCCAGACAAATGCTGTGTGAAGATCATACTTCCATAACGGTCAGCAAGGAATGGTGAATGGCTGTATCAAGCCCGACCTTGTTTTCAGGAATTTCGCGAAAAATTCCCTGTTGACTTACCGTATTTAATAATAATAATTTATTTCATTGTGTAGCAACGTGAGAAAATGTTAGTTACAGAAGTCTGGAAACTTGGAAACTGCCATCTTGAGACTGTTGTCTACCTATATTTCATACTGACAACTTTCCCAAATAACCTCTTAAAATCTAAATTATTTTTGACTTGAAAGTAATCACATTGTTCTCTAATTACGCCACTGGGGCATTTTTTTTCATTTCATCCCCGATCTGAATCTAGAATAATCAAACAGATATCTCTCCAAAAATCAAACTTCAAATTTACGTTTAATCTTCTTAGCATTGTTACTGTTATTATACGTGACAGACAAATCCAATCAAAAATTCGTTTCGCTAAAGCTGTATTTCCCTACCTCTTGCAAATTTAATTTAACAGTGACATATAACCCCCCCAAGCCATCTGAATTCCTCCACCTCCCCTCATTCTCGCCTCACCCCCCAAAAATTCCACCCCTTTGGTGCAGTGCGGAGGACGATAATTGTTAAGGTGTTCAAAATGAGACATCTTCGTCGTAACGTCGGGAGCCTCTTCGCCTGACTTCGCGTTAAATTGGCCGTAACCCTCCGGAGGTGGAGGGTTTGTCCCGATGCAACACCTTATTAAACTCGAACTCGCAGCGATCCGGGGTGACGTGTGGCCATGGGCGGCGGAATAGGGGCAAGAAACAATGTATAATTTATAATAATTTGACAAGGTGTGAATTCGTTATCTTGAAGGTGTACATGACATAATTATGTACTTGTACAACACGAAAATCTGTAGAGGAATATTTTTTTTGTATTGAATAATTAAAGGCTTTTTTTAAGTCTAAAACAACTATCATGTAGAGGATATTACAGCCTACACAGGGGTAGAAATCCTCATTTTTTAGCTATTGTGGATTAAAGCAAAATTTAAATAGCGCATTTTTTGTAAATGTAGACAACCAACATTTTTTTTCACTACTAGCCTCAGAAGACTTTATTATATATCGTGTTTGATGCTTGAGAAATTACTGTTCTCCACCTTACCCAATAATGGATTTTTCTCTCCTACTAGTAGATAATGAAAATAATTGACAGTATTGCCATGGTTACCTTAGAATGTCGTAGTTGAGGTGTTTACTTGACATTAAGCTGCCACATTTTATACATTGTTTATTAATGACAGATGATGTAGAACTGGGAAGCTGAAATTTCTTGCGAAATCTTAAATTTGCTGCCTGGACCACACTCCAGCAAGAATGCCACCAGAGCAATCATGAAAAATCTATTGCAGTTATTCTTACGAGCACGCGACATTTTTAACCTCTAATTTGTGTAATCTGTTAAGAAGTAGTATTTTTATAATAAATAATGAAAATGTTAATGTAGAAATAATATTGTGTTATTCGAAAGACAAATGTTTATTAAAAAATTGAGAATAATAAGTATTAACAACAAAGTAACTAAAGATTAACACCTCAACTATAATTATTTGAAATAATAGTTAATTGTGCAGTTGTGGCACGTCATATTGATTCCCGATGTATTGCGATTGGAGGTAAAGTTCTCCACCGGTATAGTTATTTCACTGTTTGTAGCAGCATGTGTGGAAGTAGATGGCATTTCACTACACACGTCTTCACTCCTCTCACATAAAATATTGGAAGAGCTAGGAGCAGGTAGGTTAATGTGATGAGGTGTTCCCTGAATTATATTTGCAATTCTTCTTTTGTCAGTGAGAGACTCCTCAACATACCCTTCAGCAACCATTGAGCTTTTCCAGCCCCCATGGCGTTTGAGTGATAATATGTCCCCACCCATATCAGCCAAAATAGTCGCTGATGTTCGCCTCAATGTATGGCCAGTAAATTCGTCGACATTTGGCAGTTGTAGGTATTGAGCTATTTTATAAGGTGTCTTGCTTATCGTATTATGTCCCATGTTTTGTCTAGTCGGTTTTCCACCTCTAAACCCAATGAAAAGCCTTGTCATATCAGGAGACGGCCTTTTTGTCAAGTATTTTTTAACCACATCAATCCAGGTGGGCTCCATAATGACAAATTTTCGAGAAGATTTTGTTTTTGTTTGAGGGATATTTATGACTATCATATCCTCTCGTGTATCTACATCTGTCATTTTCATGTTGCAGAGCTCATCTGTCCGACAAGCTCCTGCAATTCCTATAATGAGAATAACCTGGAAGCAAATGTAATTTGGCGTTTTTTAAAATCTCATTGTCAATTAACAGAATTACCTTAGACGAAAGAAAAATTTCATCAGGTGCTTCTAAAATAAATTTTGTGATTTGATGCTTCTCAAAAACAGCCGCCTTTTTGGGTGTGTAGGAATCATTTTTGCGTTTGAGAAAAGCAATTACTTTATAATATTTTGAAATATCCACATTTTCTTTTAATTTAAGAGTTTGTTTTAACATAGAAAATGTGGCCCATAGACTGGAAGCTTTTTTGTTTTTAGCTTTTTCTTCCATATAAACAAGAAGGACATTTTCTGACACTTTGGCCACTTTTTTAATTTTGCACCAATCTTTGAATTGTGCGTAAACTTTTAAGTAGAACTCTTTTGATTTTTGTGGCAGTAATTGATCACACTGCACGTTACTTGCTTCTTTTCGGATTTCTGGCGGGGTGCACACACTAGTATCTTCGTCGCTAGTCGACATTTTGCTCTTTATTAAGATTTTTGGTTTAATGTCATTTTTATTCATTTGTTTTCACAGGCTATTTGATTTTCATGGATATCTTAAATTCGTTCCGACTTTTATACATTGTCATTAAAGAAAAGTTAAACAAATGTGCTAGTAGTGAAAAAAATAATATATAAACCACGGGAGAGAACCATTTTATAGCCTCGCTTTCGTTATTACCCTCGACGCTACGCGTCTCGGGTATAATTCAGCTCGGCTATAAAAATTGTTTTCTCTCCCTTGGTATATAATTACTATTATTCGCTGGGGAAGTTCACAACTTGGAGATTAGATGCATTTTAAAGCCTCTTTCAAGAAAGACTTGGAAAATGTGTATATAAGATGGATGTTGTTATCGACACAAAGTGTTTAACCTGAAGGTTGTGAAATCGTAAAATGATAAAGAGTTTGGATATTACGCGCAGATTTTAGGCTAAAAAAGCCGAAATAGACCCTAAAATAGCCGATAAAAATGGGGGATTTAGGTCCGAAAATGGAATTTGCATAGCAAATTAGATATTTTTCTAAATTTTCCTTTTGTCTGTCAGGACATTTTTATACCCAGGGAAGGAGAATGTTTGAAATTAGAAATTTCAGTGGGCTTCATTTTTAAATCTTTTTCTATATTTTCGCATTGTACTTACTTTGCTGACAACTTTAAGCTCTTAGTAACCGGTATTTTTTGACTTTGGAATTTGATTTTGGACATTTTTAAAAATGACACAAAATACTAGATGATAAACAATTTTTAAAACGTTGTTACACTTTTGAACTTCACTTTATGAAATCCCAACACGAATTAATTGACACAGGAAGGGAACTCGAAAAGAAAGTTGTAGGAGAGCTTGGTGCATTTAACAGATCAAAGCTCTTCTTAGAAAAGAAAGAGACAACTTGTGTTGGGGTCTGTAAATGGGTGTTTGAATTATTTTAAAACCTACATATCCCCTTAGCAGTACAATAAAATTTGGTGGTTTTGATTGTTTCGCCTTATAATTATCATTTCTTTTTTTAAGAAATTACATTAATTTCGCAAAATTGCTGTTATTTATATTTTTATTCACAACAAGCAATGATCTCAGCGGGGACTAACGTGCCCCAAGTGTCGCAGATACAGGAACTAACTACACTATTTTTTGTTGGGGGGCCCATTTTACAAATGTTTCGACTGCTGCTTTCTTAATTTTTCTGGTATCAAATCTTCCGCATCTTTTTCTACCATCTGATCTATATCAAAATTTTTAATTTCACTCACCTTTTCTAAATATTTTGCACTTCGATGCTATAAATCACTATTAAAATGGGGAACTGTTAAAAAAAAACATATTGCTAAGACATTTTAGTTAATTTCTCCTATTAAAGTGACACTTGAATTAATTTTTACAATTTCGGGTTTAAATTATAATTTAAATAATAATAATAATATTAATAATAATAATAATAATAAATTAGCCGGGAAGGCAAAAATTAGCGTATGTGCCAGAGGTCTGAAGCATCATTTTAATTAATCCCTCGGGTGATTATGTCTCTCGCCTTCGGCTAGGGAAATAAACTTTCGCCTTCGGGGTCCCTTGGTTACGGTTATCAATCCCTCAAATAAATTTTTAATTCCTCTAATGCTAATATGAAATTGCATATTTAATAGATTTCGAACGTTAATTTCAAGTTCAGTATACCTTCAAAAAGCAAATATATTTGATGGGCACGCGAAGAATATTTTTAAATTAAATCAGTGCCCACCTTTCGCCGGGCGGTCAAAAAATTTCAATAGACTCGTTTGTATTGTTCCCCTCCACGGAAATCTTTAGTAAAAGGCGAAAGATTTATTCGCTTTGAAGGGAAACCAGAGTGACCCATCAAACCCTTCGATCGTCTATATTACGAGTCTGACGTCACCCAGTCGCTACCCATAACACCCAGCGGCACCTATCCCTACTCACCCCTATCAATAATATATGATAATTGATAATCCAATATTCCGGCCACTACCGTTATATCGGGTGTTAGTTGGTAAGAATAAACGTTGATTTTCTGTACTACAATGTCGGTAGTTTTGTGAGTTATTGCCTTATTATACGAAAAAGCGCATTCGTCGCTAAACAAAATTTTGGGATTTTTTTTGTCCTCAAAAATTTGTTGGTGTCTTGCATATTTGTAACATTTAAATTTTGGGCACCACAGTAAAATGCATCCCCAAATTTGGTCCAAAGAAGTGCTGCTTGTTATAAAAATTTTGCAGAAGATTGCGTAATAACGTCGGTAAAAGAAAAAGATTAATTACGAGAGCAGTATTCTATTTTTGAGTCACTGTATAAGTATTTTATTGAAAGATATGAATGCAATGATAAATCACGAGGATAGACTCATATTCTGCACATAATGGATAGGATTTATTCGGCAAAATTTTGAGGTGACGTCATCATTCTTTTTAGGGGCCAAAATATGATGAGTCTGTAATTGTGACTTACCATATTTTTTAGATTTGCTTATACAGGGTGACTCAAAAAATTAATGAATGAGTCAATTTATTTTATTGAATTAATTAGGGACTGTAGAACCGAATGCTTTGAAATCGTACAGACGTTTTAAAGTTATTGTAAGCATGGTAAGTAAATTTTTAATCAAAATGTATGTGTTATTCCTCCCGAAAAATTAAAGTCATCTCAAAATTTTGCCCAATAAATCCTACCTGAAATGTGCAAAATATGATGAGTTTTTAATTGTGATTTATGATTGCGTTCATATTTTTTAGATTTCCTTATACAGGTGGCTCAAAAAAATTTAACGAATGAATCCGTTTATTTTATTGATTAAATCAGAAATTGTTCACCCCATTTTCCCAAAAATTTGGAAATATAATACTCCTATTATTAGTAATACAGTACACCACTCCAAATTGATTTTCTTGTCCTTGCAAAAATGGTGACGTCATCACAAAATTTTGTAAAGGAAAAACTCGTTTGAAACATAGGCGTAGGACGCTTCTCTACATTTACTTTAACATTGCTTACATATGTTTATTTCAACTTATAGGGGTTCTCATAAAAAAAATAAAATTTGTAAAATTTTATAATTTTTCGAAAATGCTGGATAAGTTTCAATTTACTTCAGGGGCCAGGGGAAGTTCTGTCGAAATAACCTTCGATCAATTTTTTAAAAGGTTTTCAAGTTTAATTACTACAGTTATTTTAATGACTTTCCTGTGTAGCAGTTGTCACACTGTATTTCCAAATCCTACTGCAGTATGCTTAAATCATGTCTTTTTGTTAGAACAAAGATTTAAAGTTTAAAGATATTTTAAAAAGGAAAAATATGGGTTCTAAAGTCTGAAGGCACTGGAAAACCAACGACAAACTGCATTCACAACAATAGCCTATTTTTTTAAATATTATATTTGATATAATATTTCGCCTTAGGGAATTATTTATTAAGTTTAAATTTCTCGTTCGTAATCAATCAACTTTTTCCAGTCAGTCGTCGACAGTTAAATTGGTGTTTTGTAATTCGTAACGTGAAAGTGTTTAACATGAACCTAAACTGCGCTCAATATTTTATGTATATTACATATAATTCTTTTATAAATATTTCTTACAATGTTGTTCAGCAACAACCAACGAGAACGTCAAAGACTCTTGCCAGAAGAGGAAAGGGAAGCAAAAAAAGGGTTCAACACATAAATGGATTCGTTAAGAGTTTATAGAACTGCAGTACGTCAAATAATTATCCCAACATGTAAAGATTTTGAAATAACCTGAAGAAAAAACTTTAAATTTTAAATCTTTGCGATAAGCTACACTTAGAAAAAGTAGCAATTTTGGAAAATTATTATAAAAGCAAAATTAAAAATGCCAAACGAAACAAACAAATTCTCAAAATACTAACAAAATTAACAATAACAAATAAAATAAAAATAATTCCAAAATAATCGTTCTGATTGGTTTTAAGAAGACCACTAAATACTAAAGACCCCTCCAAAAACTTTTAAATTATCGAATTTTGATAACAAATTTGCCAATTCTTTGAAATTATCTTGAGTAAGAGAAATTTGCGATTCGTCTGATCTCAGAAATTTGTTTTTGTGTAGCCAAGAAAATTATATATCATATCGAATAAACGTTTAATAATGAATCTATTTTTTTAACCGTGTTGTAAATGTTTTTACAATAAGCCGAATTTAAGAAAATTTTCAATAGTTTCACTACGTTTTCCAAGTAATTTTCATTTTTTCATATTGATCATGTTTTATATCTCTCTGCTTGTGGAATTCCAAAGTGTTCGTAATGGCTCGTTAAATAATAGACAATTCCAATTCCAGTTTTGTTTGTTGTTTCACTATCGCCAATAATATTTATTGTTCCAATTTTGATTAAAGCCTTTATTACTGCCACGAGAGTTAGTGATGACTAATTTTATTGTTTCATTTCGGGACATGGTCTTTATTTATAAACAAATAGTTCATAAACCTCAAGTTTCATGCTACTGAATTTATTTATTAATTGAAAAAACTCAATGTCTTTCCCTTTTTTATCACCCCTCTAATTATTTGCATAGCTTACGGTCGGATTTGCCATTAAAAAAAATAACTAAAAATTACCTACTTTGGTACCCACCTATGTTTAATTACCATTTCATTTAGAATGTACAAAGATAGGGTTATGTTGTTTTTCTAGTAATTTGATAAAATTCCATGTGACAACAATGTTTACCTGACATAAAGCGAAGGTACAAATCAGCAAAAATCAAGTAAGCAATTAAAAATGTTTGAAGTATCAAAAATTTCAAAGTTTTCAAAACCCTACGTTTAAAATGTTCGCAGTTAATTTTAGGTCCCCTGATGTTTTATTCTCGGCTAAATAATTAGCAAGTACTAGCCCCACCCACCCGCCCTGTTTTTCTTAAAATGTACGTCATTTGCCAAAATCGGTCTTATTTTTATTTTCTTAGCCGGCATGTCATTTGCCAAAATTAGTTTTATCTTAGCGGATACTAACCCCGCCCACCCACCCTCTCTTTTCTTAGCGGATATGACATTTGCCAAAATCGATCTTATCTTAGCAGGTACTAGCCCCGCCCACTTGCCCTCTCTTTACTTAGAGGATATCTCATTTGCCAAATCAGTCTTATCTTAGCCGGTACTAGCCCTCTAAGAAAATAAAGCTTGGGTGGGCGGGCCTAGTGCATGTCAAATGGCATGCCTCCAAAGAAAATAAAGGGTGGTTGGGCGGGGCCAATACTTGCCAAGATAAGACTGATTTTGCCAAATGATATATATTCTACCCTTTATTTTCTTAGAGGGTATGTCATTTGCCAAAATCACTCCCATCTTAGTAGGTACTAGCCCCGCCCACCCGCCCTCTCTTTTTTTAAGGGTATGTCATTTGCCAAAATCGGTCTTATGTTAGCAGGTACTAGCCCCGCCCACCCGCCCTCTCTTTTTTTAGGGCCAACATTTAACTTGAATGAAAATGTGTTAAGGATTATTGTTAAAATTGGACACTACTATAACCTAACATTCCTGAAGGTTTAAAAATAAAAGGCGCCAACCATTTGAAGCAGCTTAGGCAATAGCAACTCAAGAAACATTTACCAGAATTGGTTAATTCAATTGCCAAATCAAACAGTATTTATTGATTAGCCAAGTTTTTTTAAAGTAGACAGACAATCAGATGATTTATTAACTATTTATCATTTTGCCAATTATTGGTACCTAACTTCTGAATCTTGAGGAGTCCGGTACCCCCCCCCCCATACTTCCCCATAACGACGCCCCTAGTCATTAATGGGTTGTACAGTTGTTAATTTGGGAGGTTTTTTCGGATATCTGCGGAAAGATTTTTTCCATCTTGTGTGAATAGTAAAATCTCTTGTTAGTCCAATAAAACTCAAAAATAAAGAATTTTTTTTGTACATGTATTTCAAAAACACCCTGTATATTGTATTGTTCAGTACAATTTTTCGCCATTCCTTTTGGATGTGACCTTATTCTTTCAATTGCAATGCATATATTTTCATCGAAGGCTAACCCACATGGGTTATTTTACAATTGTCACTAACCTTGCTATTGTACTGTCCAACCGCCAATAATGATGTCACAAAATTTTAGTGGCTGGAAAAATAAAGCAGGTTTACGTTTTTCCTATACTTTAACATATTTAAAATGTTTATACGAAAAAAGAACAAAGCAATTTACCGTCATGCAAGCATTTAAAAAAAACTGGTCACATTTAATTCCGTCATTTTTAAAAATGGAATATTTGTACTTTGTACGTCGAGGTTCTAACTTTTATTTATAATTAAACTTTTTTTATACAAACTTATGTCAATAAAATTACGAATGCGCAAATAGTTCGAAACACCTTAAAAACACCGGAAAAAAGAAAAAATGAATTTAAGTAGACAAAGAAAGATCTGTGGCATAAGTAAGACATCAAATGTCAAACTTAAACTTCATCATAAAGTAAATAAGCAAAACACATTGTTACATTTTCCAAATAATAACCTTAATTTAAACTTCCATAATACCGACGAAGTTCAATTTCTCCAAAGTCTAATCTCCTGTTTGTACAACTTCAACATATCCAATTAAATATTGCATTGGCTACTGTCTCTCGCTTTAATAACCATCCATAAAAACTTAGCCAATTTATTTTTCTATACTTTCACGTCTTCATCACTTCTCGACTTTGTAGTCACTTTACGACAGAAATTCTCACTTTGTTCACAACGCGCGTCATCGCCTTTTCCATTATTTCAGAACTTGGGGCGATTCGAGTAGTCCTTCGGAAAAAAATCCCCTTAACTCTCCGTTAATGAGCTTATTTGTTCCTTCATCAAAGCCTTTTTACGAATGAT